GTCTGGGAATATACCACGTCCACGGTCCTACTCTGGAAATGATCATGCATACAATGGACTCCGGACAAGGCGCGTTCCTCTGAGTCGTCCTAGCAATATGACCAAGTTGCGAGAGCAAGGTCAAACAACTTCTATTAAAATCACTGTTTGGTTGTCGGAAATCTGACTGCCTAAGAGCCTTCAATCCCCTTCCTTCATTACGACATAATCGAGGATTTAGGGCAGATGGTGCCCATGCCAGTGCCTGGGAATCTTCCTCTCCCTAGGCTTCAAGACCCTGACTCGGCTCTCTTCCTCATCCTCACTCACATTGTGCCTCATTTCTTAGGATTCTGTGTCTGGCTTAAGCCATAATCGCTAGTGTGAAAATGCACCGCTTCCCTTTAACTCATGAAAAGCACATTTCTCTGGTCTCTCAAACAGAAATTCCCATACAATCATAGGGCACTAGGGTGAGGCGCATGTTTGTGCTGGCTGGTATCCTCCGTAGTCAAGCCTGTCACCAGTCACCTCCGAATCAGGCACATACACGAAGAATGCACACAAGTACCCACACAATCTAAACTTCCCTTGCCATGCGACCAAAGTGCAATGAAATTATCAGGGTATCGCATGAGCAAGGATAATGAATTACTTAATAGAAAGGACACATGACCGCCAAGAGCCCACGGACTACCCAAGATACGCGATGGAGAACAGCATGCATGAAGTGGTGCAAGCTAGCAAAATTCATACGCTTGCGGCTCAAGAAGGTAAATGACACCCTCAAACACCGCGAATAATTCATACAATTCTTCTCAAAGAATCCAGAACAGTGAAATGGCAACAACGGAACTGTTGGTAGATTTAGATTTAAATTCCAATAATAACTTTGTTGGAGCTATTAGAATCTCAGGAGGATGTTCTGAAAGTAGAGCAGACACAACTAATCAAGGTACAAATACTTTGCACTCAACGTCAACACCTGAGTCAACATTTTGACCATTTATGGGAGCTCCAACCTCACCCCTTGACAAATGTATAAATGGACAAGTTTGAAATGGAATTCAACAAGTTATCGCCACGACCAATATTTTTTATGCGATATCTGCATGGGAAAGTGGATGCACTTACTCTTCTGTAAACTGAATAAAAAATTGTCACTATTACTAAGGACATATAATATCCAAACAATCAAGAAGACTATACTCTTCACTAGCTTGTCAACACAAGAGGAGAGCTCGAAAATTTATCACATAACATGCGGCAATCGTGAAAAGAGTATCGGCGGCATAGGAACGCAAATCAAGGCAAGCTTCAATGGTGCCCTCTGATTTTTGAAAAACTCTTCTTAAATCAACCTAAATGAACCAGCACTTACTCTGAAGGTCGGATTTGTAGTGGTTGTATGCTACCTTTGAGGAATAAGAACGGCCCTATCATCTGTTTGAGTCAGTGGGCGCTCACAATGATCTGTCTCGCATGTACAGCACTCCCATCTATGCCACCCTTATGAATAAGGTAACCATTCTCGACTGTTTTCTTCTGCTGAGAATCGCGTCAACCTTTACTCGACACATTATATGCCACAACTATTGTGGCTGTTTAATCAACCGTCATAGACGGCTCCGTATTTATAATTCATTCATACTTCCGTACTCTATCAACCATTACGACAATCTAAAACATCATATCTTAACAATACATGAATTGTGCGACAAACTCCCCTATGGGATGGGCCATCCTGACATAACGCAAACTTGAAAGTCCTTGCGGAACGGCAGCGCTAAACGCAACATAGGACCTGATGATAGACAGGCAAGTGAACTATGAAGAGGCCAAGTGTACAAGCGGTCAGTTCAAGCTCAAGGGAGCTGTGGCCAATTTACACTAGCTCGATTGGCCTACCTACAAATGGGGATTATTTGGAGTTGGGGAGCAGAGACGCAGCCATGATGGAAAGGTGGTCGAGCAGGGGGGGAGAAGTATAGGGACATTACAAGTCTACAAGCGACCCCAAAATAATCATGCGTAGACAATTACTTTTAATATGCAGAATTTTATCGGAGGCCTCGGACCACTGTAGAACGAACCCGCAACGACAAACTGATGCGAAGAAGTAGAAGTCTCTGAAAAGAGTTGCTACAGAAGCCAGATTTATTTACAATAGAGAATAAAACCCAATTATACAAAAAAATCTCGAATTAAAACAAGGATGCGAAAACGGTTTAGATTGGCTTCGAACGTTTAGCCTTGGTGGGCTTAGGGAAAATCGGGAATTCTTGTTGGTCAGTTTCTTGGTTAAACTGTTGCTGCAGCCGTTCCATAATTGAATTCAATTCGTTAAGAGTGATTTGTGGAACGTCCATGACACGACGCTTCTTGGAAGTCTCAAAAGAGTTAGATGCGGATGCTCTCGGATCAGGACTACCATTACCGGAAGGAGAGTGTATAAAAGAATCAGATTTGTCAGCAGACTCAGCACCTCGAACAGGTCGACTTGGAGGCGTTACAGTTTGTGCAGCCGCATTCATGGCGCGATCCGCTTGTGCCGATTTATTGGCAGAGTTTGCAAATGGTCTAACGGATACATGACTAGGAGTAGAAGTTTTGGTATGACCCTGCGGAGAACATTTGACAGCTACCAACGGACTAGAATTTTGAGATAAAGGAATCGGCGTGATGATCGACTCGCCTTTAGTGAAGGACTTTAGGATTGTTTCATTTTTGGC